AAGGCAGCATGGGTTTAGAACACCATAAACAAACAAAATGGTGTGTGCACAGTCCTATGCTGCCTGGGAGGCCACGGGATCCTCTGAGATTGGAGGATTTCAGAGCTGTGCCACCTCACAGCTAACAGGGAAAGAACTGAACCACTCTCCCACAAAAGTTGCAAATGCACCTTGGAGGGGAGAAAAAAGGGTGTGCCAGAGGGTGGGGAGGGAAGGAGGTTGAGACTGCAAAGTTACACCTGCTCCATTTGGTGCCCCAGCCTCCTTCCTCCCCCCCCCTTTTAAAAAAATGTAGGGCACAAGGTGGTAGCAGCAGCAGTGGAGATTGCTGTTGCCCCACCTGCATTGAATACTCATAAGCCTCTGAGTTTGGAGGCATCTGTCATGGAGGCAAAACGATCACACTCTTAGGTGTTTTTCAAGAGTGTCCAAATGACAAATGGATCAGGACCATTTTCAAAATAATTGTAGACATTTTTTAAAAAATACTGTTAGAATTGGGCTTTGTGGGTGAGCCATACAGGGGTATGTAAGGTTCTGGCTCTGCTCAGTGTGGTTTGAGGTTGGAAGCAGTCTCTGTGCGGCTTGTCATTGTGGTATAGGCTGTGTGATGTGCCTGTGGTTGCTAAAATGTGTGCTAATGCAGGGCTAATATGAACAGAGAGTATTTACAGGTGGGACCTGAAACAAGATGCTAGGACTCATGATATATGAACAGCCATCTTTTGATGTGACACAGGGGATCCATAAATAGATCTTTGCTTAAAAGCAAGGGAAACCAGATTGAGGTAGAGAGCCAGTGTGGCGTAGTGGTTAAGAGCATGGGACTGGGACTCAGGAGATCTGGGTTCTAGTCTCCGCTCGGCCATGGAGCCAACTGGGTGACTTTGGGCCAGTCACAGACTCTCAGTCCAACCTACCTCACAGGGTTGCTGATGTGGGGATAAGATGGAGGAGGAGAATGATGTGAGCTGCCTTGAGTCCTTTGTAGGAAAAAGGCAGGATATAAAATCGAAAAATATAAATAAATAAAGTATGGCACTGGACAAGGACTTATAAATGCTTCTGTTTCATTCCTGGTTCCCCAGTTTAAAATCTGCTCTCCTCTGCACTATGATTCTGATCCAAATTTCCCCTCTTCTGTAACTCTTTTTAGCTAAATGAAAAAAATAAATTGGGAGATGCAATCATAGATCTCCTATTTCACTTCTTATCTGGCCCCAAGTATGTAGTTTATTTTGAACAGAAGTACATAATTTGTGACTCATCAAACCAGTAAGAACTACACATGGTAGCCTTGTTTTTGTTGCTTACCTGGGACTGCAAAAACAAAAGATTTTGAACGTACACGACTAGTGAGTCACAGTTAGTATAGTGTTGATTGAACAAAGCTGCACTTGATTTAAATCAGGAGATGACAACCTCCAATGCAGGGTATTGCTCAATCAGGTTTGCAGAAGGCTGACCTTCCTCAATCTTACCCCCTGTCCTGTAGAGAATGTCCAGATTGGCGATAATGTCCTGTGTGCCATCTCTTCCAATGGGAAAGCAAGTAACAGAAAGGGGAATCCTTTTGTTTTCTCTGATCTGAAATTGGTGGTAACAAAAGGCCTCTCACACACTCATCAGCAAAGACTGGGTCCTGCAGATCCTGGTTAAGTGCTTTCTACATTGCCTGTATATATCAGCAGACCAAGAAAGAGCTGCATAACCTAGCTGGAGCTTACAGGTCTTGCAAACCTGGCTGAGTTGTTTTTTCTGTCCGGAGAGCAATCGTGGGTGGGTAGAAGGGGGCAGATCCTGTAATGTAATGAGAGCTGTCAGCCAGTCTACCAACTACCTCCAAACCAAATTAGGTAATCTACCCCTGGTTTTAATCATGTGAATACTGTATGAAGCCAAATTCATGTTACTGGGATCATAAGCAACTTATTTTGTATTGTTTTGTGAGGGAAGGATAATCAATGAAAAACTCTTTTTGCAGCGAATGTTTCTAGGAGGTGCTTCTTCCTGCCATATTTTCCCATGAAACACCTGCCTGTTAATTCATATTCTTCCAGATGCTAGAAAAATAATTCCATCTTTTCCTGCAAACAACTATGACAATCCCAGAATTCCTCTAATGACTACTTAGGTACCACAGGATATCCTGGCTAAATGATGCCACATGTGGTTAGACTGGTTGCAGTTAATTTTCTTGCACCATTTCCTCTTTCCTGGATTCATAGTTCTTCACTTCTCTTGAGAAAATACTTGCATTTTGTTTTAATGTAAGTTAATTTTTATGTTTCCTGTTATCCTTTACTTTGTAATAGAAAACTAACACAATCTGAGAATGCATCACATTTACTTGGTAGCCAGGATTAATATTTTGACTGGGTGTGATGCTTCATATTCTGCTTTTTCCCATATATGCTTTACCATATAATTTATTTCAAACCCAATCTTATGTAAGTTTATTCAAAAGTAAATCTGTCTATATCCTACTGTCAGGTGACTGTTGATACTGTGAGGGGCTTCAGTTTAGTGGTAGACCAGGTGACCAGCATGCAAAAAGTCTATGTTTATTTCCTGCCAACACTGGTTGAATCCAAGAATGTCTATCTTGCCTGAAATCCAGAGAGCAGCTGTCACTTGATGGCAATAATCCTGTGCTTGATGGACGAATGGTATGACTCAGTATATGGTAACTTATGATTGCACCTTATTTTATTTTTACTTGGACAATTAATATACTTTTAAAATATTGTATCATTTCAATAAGTCTTTTTTGCTCCATAGTTTTCTGGGTATGCTTGTTCTTGGCTCCTAGGTTTTTATTTTCTTGCCAATTTTTGGATTCTATTAATTTGTGCTTTACTCTAGATGTTTATTATAGCTTTAATAGTATTTTATTTGTGCTATTTATGCAACAATGGGCATCTCGATTCTGAAGGTAGAAAACTCACACCCAAATCAAGATTTGGAGAATGCTAGAAGGTCAAATCAAAGTAATTCTCCTTAGGAAGATGCCTGAATTTGAGCACATTTCCTAGATTTGCACAAATGGGGAAGGAAAATAAAGCATTGTAGCTTTTTTCCTGCCCTGTGTGTGCTGCCAAATTACCTTCACTACGCATGGTCTGTTGTGTTGTCAGAACACGGTGAGGGTGGGAGGTGGGTGGAACCCATGGGTTGTTCCAGGAAAAGATACTTTCAGCTTTATTGTCTTGCTGATGACAATTTGTGTCTATCTGTCTACACATTCTTAGGCTATACTATAGGAAAACCAGTCTTGCTTTATTTTGAAATTTCCCACTGTTTTTACTGTTGCAAGCAAGGCATAGCAGATACTTAACCATATACTGTCACCTTTAAAGTGGGTTTCTGCATGATCCAAACATGTTTGGAATTGTAAGATATAGTTTTAAAAGAAGTTAGCTATAATGGTTGCTTTAAACACGCTTGCCCAAATTTCATAGCCTTACTTGCTGACTCCAATACTCAAATTGATTTGCATTTACCACACCAACATCTGTAGCTTTTACTTACCGACCCCAATCCCACATAAAGGCAAACTCATTTCTAGCTCAGCTGTGTATCAAGTTCTGAATGTCTTCAATTCTAACTCTGCACATGTAGAAAGCAGGCTATATAGCAGTTCTTCATACACCAAGGCTGCAGTTCTTTATGTGGTTACTTGGGCATATCTCACTATTAACTACCCCCGTTTTATCCTGCCATGCCACCTGTACGTTTTTATCTTGCCAAGCTGAAGTGCTATTCAGAGATGGCTTACTAGGGCTTGAGTCCCGAATCTTCCATTTGGGGCTGCCCATGAGGACTTGCCAAAGTAAAGGGACTGGGGCTCAGATGATCTCTGTTGCCATGTGATCCCCTGAATTAACTGTTTTTTTCCCCACATGTGCCTCACTTCCCCTCCTCCAGTTTTTTCCCCTGAAATCAAACGTCTCTTCATCCCTTTTTACAAGTCTGAGTGTCCTTAGAACACATGGTCCTTTAAAGCCCCCGACAGTTTAGAGCATATGCAAATTAGCATATGCAAATTTATACGTTACTTTTGTCCAGCAAACCTGAGCTCCTCAGCTTTTCAGTACCCAGCACCGCTCCTGCTGCCTGGCTACCTCTATGCAGGCTTCACCAGCTATTCACTTTAACGGACCTCAGGTCTTACAAGCTGAGGGGGGAACTCACAAAAAATATGCCAAGCATCACAAACGGATACATCAAACAAAAACTCAGCGATAGGTATGAAGGCACTGTATATTGCAGCCCGCAGTTGTTTCCAACTTCGCTATCTTTCCTCGTGGCTAGGAAAGCTAACCCAGTTAAATAGGTCGAGGGACTTAGTAAAGGCTCTGTGCCTTCGTGCAGTACTTGCCTTCACATGGGAACTCCTACAAGTAGGACCTTAGTGAACCAAGGAGGTACTGGTAACTCCTGTCCTTAGCGATGTTAACAAGGAGTCTGCTCCGAAGTAGGGACAAAACTAGCTTCAAGCACCGCCGAGCCCCTGAGACCTAACCCATACCAGAACTCGAAGCTGCCTGAGAGGCATAGCCTCAGGGGTGGGAGGAGGAAGTGGAGACTACTCTCCGAAACCCTGTCCCGTCCACATCTTTAAGCCCCCCACCTCTCATTTCGGATGTTCCCCAAAGTGGGGCTCTTTCGGGCGCCCCTCCCCTCCGCAGCGGCCACTTCGGGCGGCCGCCTCTCCCAAGATGGCGCCGGCTCCTCCTCCCAGCTCTCTCTTGGGAAATCGAGCGGGCGGAATGCCGCCGAGGCTCGTCCTACTCTGCTTGGGAGGCCGGCCCAGGTTTGCTGTGTGTGCGCGCGGTGGGGCGGGCGGGGCAGCGGTAGCCAGATTAGTGACGGCGGCGGAGGGAGCCGGAGGGGTCGGAGCAACAAGCCACGGACCGGGGAACGGAGCCGGGGAGGGCGCTCTTCGGTTGCTCAGTAAGCAGCGCGCCTGGGCTTGAGGACGGGCGTGGGGAGCCTGGGGGTAGAGGCGACCTGGGAAGCTTTTATCACGGCAGAACCGGAGGCGGCGCGGAGGAAACTTTCCCTCCCGGTCCCTGGTGGTGCATCCGCGGCCATGTTGGGATCCCGAGTGTGGGGGGAAACTCCTCGGCAGGGCAAAGGCGGCGTCGCCGTGCGGGATCGGGCAAGAGGAGAAAGGAGGCGTAGGGAGGCGTATGTGCTCCTCCCGGCGCTGAGGGGTCCAGATGGGCGCGGGTCCCTCTTTCTCTCTCCCTTCGCCCCCGCGGGCGCATTAGAGGAGGCTCCTTCGGTGTTGCCCGTGGAGCTCGCCGTGGCGACGGTTGGTGCCCGAGACCACCGCCTGGCCGTTGGACTCTGCGAGCGGCAAAGTGCAAGCCTCGCCTTGACTCCGTCGTGTTCAGGCGGCGGCGTTCAACTTGGCATTAGTTGGGATTCAGGGAAGCCGCGAGCACGACAGGAGAGAACCGGGACGTGGCCTCTCGTCCTTCTATTGATAGGATAGGAAAGTTGAGAGACGAGGAGCTCCTTAACCTCTTAGAGTCATTTTTGGCCTTGTCCCATCCAAGAAAGGAACCGGCCGCCCGAAATAATGAATCCCGCTGGTCAGAGGGGATGTTGCTCTTGGATGGCAGCAACTTCACAGGCACTCCAAGAAACTCTCTGTTAAGAGAGTCCCCTTGTCATGGATTTCTGGGCTTTAGAAAGCTGTACGAATATTTATTTAGTTACGCGCTCCCGTTTCTTCATGGACAAAGCGAAAACCATTTTCCCCCGGACTTTCACTCGAGTACAAGAGCTCCCCCCCGCCCAATTTTTCGCTTTCATCCGGCCCTTTATTATAGCTCTAAAATTAGAAAAGATCTTGTGAGCTGATTTGGAGGGTGGGGTAGTAAGTTAAGGAAATAAGTCAGTTTATGAAAAGCGTGCGTATCTTGCCCTTAAGCTTCTAAACAAGCGAATTTCACAGCGGTGGTGTGGAATCGTTTTGTGTTTCAGAGGAGGACAGGGAACTTCCTGTGCCTGTCAACAAGTGGATTGCAGGTTGAAGGAAGTTGGCTGTCTTGCCGTATTGTTTCTTCTAATAGGTTGGGCCTAGTTGACATACCGTTAGTGCTTGTGCTTTAAAAAAGATTTTTTGCCATGGATATTCTGGAGACTATGCCAACTGCTGTTCTGTACTTTTTCCTGAATAAGGGCTAGTTCTTAAGCAAACAAAACTGGAATGCTGAAAGGTGTAGGACTTTTTTCCTGCCAAAACATGCATAGGATGGCAGCCTTAAACAGGGAAGACTTTGCTCCCTAGAAGTCAATTGAAAGTTGTTATGAATTATTTTTGAGGAGAGTTCAGAACGTTGCATCTGTTAGGAGATTAAGATAAATATCTCAGTTGAAAACATCTTAGTTTGTCCTTCTATCTTACAAAAGTTGCCATAAATTTGTCCCATCAACTACCATTTCTCATATTGGTCTGATCTGACTGTTCTAATGCAGCCCAGATCCACGCTAGGTTTTTAGACTGTTACTTGGTTCAGTTGTATGGCAGAAAACTCACTCCATGCCCTGTCATCCTGTCACTATTGCTCTCTCAATTCTGCTTTTCTTTTTGGACCCCATTTATGACAAACTTTTTGGTGATTGTGGTTTCAGTGCACTACCAAGTAATGTTATAATAAAACTATAACTCTTTCAGGTGGGAGTGCCATTGAGGCTGTAGAAACTGGCTTATAGCTCCCCCCCCCCCGCCTCCCCGCCGTCTCTTTCTGGACATCAGTGACCTGCCTGTCAGGTAGGCAGGGGCTGCTGCATCCCCTTGAATGTTACAAGGGGATGCATATATACAAAGATATATGATGGAAAAAGAAGGGAAAGAGGAAAGGGAAGGGAAGAAGTGCATTCCCTTCACCCAGCAGGGCCTTCAAAGGATTAATTTCTAAAAGAGATTCTAAAGCTCAGGGTTGCTAGAAAGGCAAGCAGTGTCTGAGCTGACCTCAGGTCCAAGAAGGGATTGTCAGTGTTGCATTGTTTGGGCCAGGCTTTTTTTCATTGTACACCTACAGAGCTCTGCAGCTGTGAATAACCATGCTGTCTATTTTTAAACCTGTGTTCCTGCACAGCCCAAAGTTGCACATGCAATTACTGCACGTAATTTTTTTTTAAGCAGCAACCTAGAATGGTAACATGGCCTCCCCAAACTCCTGGTTGATCCGCAATTTCAGCACTCTGTATTGGTTTGTAGTATTTGATCATGTTATAAAACACAGTAGATACTGTGCTGTATTCATTAATGTGCCTCCACAGAGCAGAAATGATGTTTAGAAATCACCAATATAATGGTCCCTCACAATCAAAAGGGACTCTAATGCTGATTCATTCAACTTTAATCAATACATAAGCATATTTATTTCAGTTGGACAGATGAACTTGCATCCGTATTTGAACATTTAATTTATACTTTCTAAATAAAGAGAATCTCAATGTACAGTAATAAGAAAAAAAGTTTGAACTTGGCTATAAATCTATTCTAAACTCTACTTAATATTTTTCTTTAGTAGTGTGAGAAATTATGCTTTACAGTTTCAATATTTTTGGATGAGTTCCCTAGTGAAGCATGAAGAATTTCATGAAAGAGGGTGGTTCGTGGGGGTTTATGGCAACTTCCAGTGGTTGTTCTCCTACTGATGCTGTTAGAGCATTTGTATTAGTACACAGGGAAGTAGTGGTCTTGTACATATCGCTTCCATTCAAAATACTGTCTTTCTCATTCCTCTGGAATATGCCAATCCATTAACCCCCTGCCCACCTCCCTCAATCAGTCTGCATTGTGTGGCAACTGACCTTGCTCAGTTGTGATTGAGCTGTTTGGAACTTGTAATATAAATTTCAACAATCAGGAAAGCAACATAAGGAGAGGAAGGTAGGACATGGGCAAGAGAGCCAATGCATAACTATGAGTGATTGAAATTGCACATATTTGACTTCATTTAAGTTTAATGATGATACAATTATCTGCACAAAAGCTTTCTGAAATGTAGTTGACTTGTTGTGATTTTTAGGTGTTGCATGGCAGTTCTTGCAGTTTGGTAGCAGAGGACATTTTGCCCTTTGTATAGACCAAGGTGAGTAACTCACAGAAAAGAGTCATTGTGTAGGACAACTTATGTGGTACCTCTTTTTCTTGTTCGTTGTTGGAATTGCTCAGAATTTGGAGAATTACTCCATGTTCAGTAGGCATTTTACCTCTTGTGTCTTGGGTAGTTTTTGCAGGATGTTAAAAGTTATGTACTAGTTCAGTTGCAATTTTTTGTTAAGGTCAAGCAATGAAAATTGCATGTTAAATATTAAATTCTGCTGATAGAAATTGTTGTGTGAGATCTTCCAGTTCACTTTTTAATAAGTCCAAATACTGTAAGGCTGGTAGTAAAAGAAGTCATTTGATTTGGCTGAGCAACAGTCATGTTTTCTTTGTGTCTTTCTATCTTTTAACAGACTGCTTTGGGCATATTCATAGATCCAGTTTGTACTACCATATTTTGTATTAATGCTAGGATTATTACCTGGTAATTGTAATCCCCTATTTAATGGTTACTTGGAGACTTCTTGGTTTGATTGTGGTGTGCTGTATGGGAGGAGAGAAATGGGCAACTCTGAGCAAAAGAACCATGCATGTCTCAGTTGATTAATAGGAACAAGGCATCTAATAAAGCTTAGAAAAAGGTGCCCACAGTGTTACTTTCTTAAAATACTTAGATTTCTAAATTACTTTTCAGGACTTAAAGCCCTTATAAGACTATATACACACAATATCTAAAGCATAATAATACAATAATTCAAATATGTATTCATCATTAAATATATATCCAACCACCTCTAAAATGTCTAGTATTAACATCCACAAGATAAGAGATTCAAATTGAAAATGTCTCTGAAGTTTAAAAAAAAAGTAGTGATGAAGTTGCGTAGTTCATGCGGGGAACAAATTTCACAAACATGTGGCCACTGCTACTTACCAGTCCAACAGTGATTAAAGATGGATTTAGGACCAGGGCTCCAGATATTAATCTCAAGCTACTTTGTTTGAGTGCAGGCAGCCCTTTAAAGAGCCAGGTTCCAACCAATCTTTAAAGGCTAGAACTAGCACTAGGTGCAGAAACAGGTGGGCACCCAGCATAATTGGTACAGAATAGATGCAACATGTTCTGTTTGTTTAGTTCCCACAAGCAACCTTGTTGCAGTATACTGTACCCACTGAAGCCTCTGATATATCTTTAAAGACAGCCCTGTGTAGATTGCATTGACCCTAAAACGCACCTGGAGGAAAATTAGAGAAACCCCTCTTAGCTATCATAATTCTTACTGAATTCCAGGAAGACATTTTAATAATAAGTTTTCTGAGAAGTGAGAGAGCTTATTTAGAACTGGTAACTAGAGAACTGGAAAAGCAGTGAATTTCTCGTGGCCAGCATCAATTATTTGAGTGTCGCCACTAGCCCAAGAAGTTTCAAACTTGGTTATACTGGGGAAGGAAAAAGTTTCTTTTCTGCTATAATAAAATAAATTACCTTGCATGAAGAATATATTTAAATAACATGCATTTTTTCAGTGTTGAGCAAGCTGTGATCAAAAGGTCCACTACAGGATGGTTTTTAAATTCTTAAGGCAGAAATAGGATAGATCTCTTCTAAATTCTATTTGTGTATTTTAGGCAGATGACACCTGTTCAACTACTGACTCAGTCTCTGGCTTGTAACTATCCTAGCAAGATAAGCTACTGTGTGCATATTTAGAATTCCACATTAAGCTTTTGTTTAGTATTGATCGACTAAACTCCAGAAGAATTACCAGACATTCCATTACATGATTGCTGTAAGGGTTAAAGCATGTTTGTTACATTTACCTGTGCCTTTTTGCGTGTCATTTAACTGTATGGAAATTGAGAGGGAAATCTAAGCATAAAAATACCAAGACTCTTCAGAGCATGTTGATGGTTCTTTTGTAACCAGAAACCATCTTCTCACAAAGAGAATGAAATTCTTGTACTGGATGTTAGACATAAATTTTAAAAGTGGATGAAAACTATTAAATATTGCAATGGCCTGTGTTTCATTAGTTCTTCAGGTGGCAATTTAAAAGTAATCTGTAGTGATGTTTGAAAAATACACATTTTATTCTTAATTTCTCATTGTACTACATTTTTAACATAGGAGCTCTGCTAGGTACCCAACACCTGTCCATCTAGTCTAACACCCTTTTCCCTAACAGTAGATAGCTAGAAAGCACATAAAGGATATTATCATTCTAGCTGCCTAGGAAGGCCTTTTGGCAGTTAGAGGAATTCTATAAATATGTGAGTAGATGTGAATAATATGTGAATAATAAATAAATACCATCCCCTTAATTTGGTATTCAGAGGTGTGTTGCCTCCTGATTATGGAAGTTCCATTTGAGAAATAGCCACGTGGGTTGTCATGGCTTACTTACTGTCTTGAGAATAAAAACCTGCATTAGCAATCCTAAAATTAGGATAGTGCAAGGATTGCTAAGCATGTCATAAAATGATTAAGTTGTTCTCTGTTATTGAATGCATACTTTTATGGAATGGCTGGGAACTTGATATTTTAGCATTCACCATTTGCTATTCTTGCTAGGACTGGTGGGAATTGTAGGCCACAAATTCCTTACTCCTGCTTTAGATGGTAATGTGCATAACTTCACTTACTTCAAAATGAAGTATCTGAAGTGTCATTAAGTGTCTGCTTCAGATCTGATCTCCTTTGTGTAAGCTGTCAAAATTGCTGTTATTTAAAAGATTTGTTAATGCATACCCTCCAGTTGTAGCACGGCAGCATAACAGTGAGTGGTTTAACCTGGATCTCTATTTTGGGTTGTCTGGAGATTTGCAAAGCTGACACTGATTAGTTAATTTTAGGAATCCAAATTAGGATTAGGAACCCAAGTTCAGTCTTAGATAATGTCTAGGTCAATCACTGTGTCACTTACAGAAATGATATGTTCACTTGAAGTAGTCAGTGAACAGTGGTAAAACTCCCTGAGTCAAACTATGTAGTGTTTACTTATTAAATGTGAAAGAGTTGCATCATAACTCCTAGTTGCTGAAACTTTCATGAGATGCTTAAAGCATTTAGATAGGGTGAGTGTACATTTGCCATCCCAGGAAGGAAAACTGTGTTAACAGTGTAATATTTCAGGGGTGGTTATTCTAGATGTTTTGGCCTACAACTTCCATCATACCTCATTTGCTGCGCTGGCAAGGACTAGTGGAAGTTGTATTCCAGAACTTTTGGAGGGCCACAAGTTGCCCACTTCTAGGCTAATTCAAACAGATTACTGTTATTGCCAATCTAAATGTGTCTGGTGGGAATGCTTAATTTAAAAATAAGGCAGGAAAGGATCAGTTAATTTTCCTCTTTAATTTACTTTATTCCTTTTGCAGAATGGCATAGTCTAGAAAACATAATTTTGGACTCTGATATTTTTGCAGTAGTTTTGCAAACATTTGGAACTCTTTCCTCCCAGCAACCACTTTACTCACCCTCTTCTTTGAGCCTCTCCAGCCCACTTACATAGGTGAGCATGTGAGGAGCTTTGACAGAATGTGTGTATAAATCATTAATCTGAAACTGGCATTAGATGAACAAAAGTGCAAATCATCATCATCATCAACAGCAACATCATGTTTCTATACTACTTTTTTTCCTCTTGAGAAGAGCTCAAGATGCTTACATGGCTCCAATTTATCCTTCTTGTGAGGTAGGTTGGGTAGAAAGTCTGTGTCTTGGCCTGAGCTTCATAGCCAAGTGGGGACTAAAACCTGGATCTCCTGGGTCCCCAGTCCAGCACTCTAACCACTTGGAACATTTACTAAATCATCAGGATAAAGTGGCAGCTGGTTTTGGAAAGAACTGAAATTTTATCCTTAGCTAAGTGTGATGTGCAGGAACTGTGCTGCTTCTTCCTTAGAACTGATTGCATTGTCTGCAGTGCAAAACCTCTTGTGCTAAATCTGCTCTTGGCAGTAGGAACAGTCCCATAGTCTGAGAAGCTAGGCTTTATAATCAAGGTGGATGCAATGCAATTATTTGTCAATTATTTATTATATTGTAAATAACTGTAGAACTTTCCCTGTGCCTTTTTAGTTCAGAAGGCAGCTAAAGCAAGTTTAACATCTCTAGTGCAGTGATATTGGATAAACATTAATTATATCTTGCACATATTATCTCATTAATTTTTTTGAAGAGACACTTAATTCAATATATATGTCTGTTGCATTTAGCATGCATATCATGCCTGTATTCATTGAATATTGTCAATAATTTTTATAGTTTTGGCAAGGTTGCCTATTCAGAAACAACATTAAAGAAAATGTGTATCTAGTTTCAACTAGGGTCACAAATAGGCTGTACTAGGTATGGCTAATGCTGGTGTATATTAATGAATAAAGATTGGTGAGCCTGCAGTGGCAGCTGTCTTCTGATTTGTTGGATTTAGTTAAGCTGTAGCCTCCCAATTAATTGCTTATGGCTGGTTGAGAAAGGAATTAATTGAAGGGGACCTTACATTTCATGGAAGGAATTTTAGTTATTATTTGCTAGACTTTTGCTCTCATAAGTTTAGTAGGAACATCTTGGAATATCTAATCTAGCAGTAATCCTCAGAGATCCATATCTAGTTCAACTTAGTACATTTTTATTCCTTTATTTGTCAAGGTAGTGAATATGATTTTTGTTTTATCCATGCAGCTTCCTAGGGATGGGTTAGGCTAGAGTGATAGACCCAAACAAGGTCACCAAATGAGTTTAATTCAGCTGGATCCTGCAACTTCCTGGGAATGTGTGATGCCTGTTTGTGAAAATAATATTCCATTAATGTAATTGCAATATAGTATTAAACTGATCCTGCCATTACCTCCTTTAAAATTCTTAGTGCAGTCTACTCGTATATACATGCATGCATGTCTGGTGTGTTCCACTTTCTAATTTGGCAAGGGACTTGATTTTCACTGTTTAATTTTGCAGGACGTGGTTTGCCATAGCGAAAGTCTGTAGATGATCAGAGCTCAGAGCTGATGCTCTTTGTTTCCTGATTTTATGTACTTATGTGGATATGAGTATTTTTAAGAAGTGATACTCAACTTCAGATCATTGTTTTCTATTTTTTGTTTGGTTTGCATTTCCCCAGCTATAAATGTAACAGTTTAATTTCTGTTGATAAAGTTTGATTTTGTCATCTACTGAAAACGGTAGATGTACTAACAGAACAGGGAGGTTTATCAGACTTGGTGTTCTTATTTGAATTATAGTGCTCTTTTGAATTTGACTGATTGTAGCCCTGATTCAACTCTGTGGAGCTTGTGATCTTGCTTATTGATGCTGTCTCTGTCCTGCCTACACTCCAATAAGTTACTTCATTAAAAACCTGCTTTTTTGGTTCTATAATTATGCTTTTGTTACAACTGCCATAACCTTAAAGTACTTTTGGAAAATACATCGGGCACTGAAATAAGTTGCCATACTACAAATGCTCACCAAACATCACATACATTTGAAAGTAGTGTGGCTGGATACTTGGATTGTATATTTTAAAGAAAATTTTGTATCTTTATAGAAAAGCTGTAGTAACTGGAACATTAAAGGCACATGCCTATACCTATCACTCCCAACATGTCCCAGGCAGCCAGGCTGGGAAATGCTAAGAGATGACTTTTTTCTGTCTACACATGTATAGAATGACATTCTTAGAAAATAAGTTGTGTTGAAAATAAATCCAGTGAGGCTTACATTCAAGTAAGCATGCATAGAATTGTCCATTATGCAGAAAAAAGTGTACAGCTGTCAACATGCCCCAGCCAGCAGGTCAGTTCATTCTTCCCCCTTACTCCACATTCTGTACCATGAGTTTTTAATAGGGGTAGTTTTGGTTTTGTGTTGTGTTTTACTCAATTAAGATTTCTTCCCCTAAAGGAATTTGGGCTATATGAAACCCATATTGGTGCCGATTTGGCTTGAGTTCCATGAGTGTGAGAAGACTAGAATCAGTTTTAGAATCTAAGAATACCGATTGAATTGACCTTCTAAACCTTTGGGCTTTTTTCATCCTTTACAAGCCCACAGGCAGCCAACATTTTTGGCAAGAATATATGTGGAGATTGGAATTAAGTGGCTGTGGCACTTTCCTATAGCTGCTTTATGCTGGATGATCATTAGCATCTACATAATTCCGGTTGTTGTTACACTGAGACATTTCTCTTCCAGGGCAATGCAGAGCTTCAGTAACTGCAGACCATCCTTCCTTAATCATCTTCTTAGCTGCAAGAACAATACTCAGGGATACTCTTTTTCATTTTTCTTTTGAAGCAGAAGAGCTTTAATTAGAGAACTAATCAGAGCTGTTGCCTTCCTTTATTTCCAACTATATGTAATCTCTTGTGCTTGTATTTCTCAAATTATACTGAAAGAACACATCTGTCATCTTTTAAACTAGTTTATTTTGATAGACAATAGGTCTATGGAAGATAGTAGTCAATATAACTTTATTGGTCTCCCTGACCATAACTTACAAATATCAGTAATTTTGTCATATGGACAACCTGAAGAGAAAATGTTAGCTTCCCAGTTATAATGAGCGTATTTGTCTGTGTTGCCTGTACGCATTCTTTATTTGCCAGAAGACTGTTGGCAAGTGCTTATTTTTAACTCTGGACAATACTTACAATGTCCTTGTCCACAGATTTCTTCCTTATATTCCTTTTTTTTGGCACAAGCTGAAATGAAAAATTGCATGATACTGAAGTTGATTATTACTTCCATATATGAAGGGAAAGACGCTTGCTCCTGGGGAGGAAAGCTATGGCAAATCTAGACAGCATACTAAAAAGCAGAGACATCACCCTGCCAACAAAAGTGCGTATAGTCAAGGATATGGTTTTCCCAGTTGCAATGTATGGCTGTGAAAGCTGGACCATAAGGAAGGCTGAGCACCGAAAGATTGAGGCCTTTGAATTGAGGTGCTGGAGGAGACTCCTGCGAGTCCCTTGGACCGCAAGGCGATAAAACCGGTCAGTCCTAGAGGAGATCAATCCTGACTGCTCTTTAGAAGGCCAGATCCTGAAGATGAAACTCAAATACTTTGGCCACCTAATGAGAAGGAAGGACTCCCTGGAGAAGAGTCTGATGCTGAGATCAATAGATGGCGAAAGAAGGAGGGGACGGCAGAGGATGAGGTGGCTAGATGGAGTCACTGAAGCAGTTGGTGTGAGTTTAAGTGGACTCCGGGGGATGGTGGAGGACAGGAAGGCCTGGAGGAATGTTGTCCATGGGGTTGCGATGGGTCGGACACGACTTCGCAACTAACAACAACAACAACATATGAAGGGAATTTTTAATTGGGCTCTCAGTAAGGATCTTTGCATATAAATTAGTAACCAACTTCAGGATCAGCAGGATTGCTTCTTATTAATTTTCTTTCAGTGCTCTAGTGCTTTCCATATGTTGTTAACTACTTTCATATCATTATTTAGGCTGCTTTGCATCTTGTAGTATTGCTTTTCTGTTTTCCCTTGCTGCCATCCTGCATGATTATCTTATCTGCACTCTAATCCCAAATGGTTAGAATTCTTTTGAGGGGATAAGAGAGGATATACTAACTTGAATAGCACATGCAGCTGCCACTGGCCTGTACATGTAGCCTGCTTGAGTCTCTTAATGTTATTTATTTGTTTGTTTGTTTGCCCATCCTGTCACAGAAGCCTCAGGACAGCTTACATAAAAGATTTTAAAGATTTTTAGATGTAGCATGATCAAATTAGTCTTCTAAAATTAATGAAAAACACTTCTTGTGCTTTATTTTAGGAAATAAGCCATGATTTTGGTAAGTGCATTGTTGCAAATGAAGACTGGAAGGCCAGGGATTTCATCCATACATTCTAATGTCATGGGGCTGCATTTGTAGGGGCGTGTTAAATAATCTGGAAGAAAGATTTCTGAAGCTTCTGTTGCTTGAGCAAAAGTTGGTTTACATGCATGCTTTTAATTTTTAAACAGAAGATAGTTTATTATTGCTCAGGGGATTAGCCAGCTGTGGACATGTGTAACACATGCCCTCAAAGAAGTCCTCATAACAGATCCAAGCCAGAGCCTTAGGTAACTGAGTTTAGTACATTTGTTGATACCATGATTTGAAAGCAATCATCCATGTAGTTCTAGATTCACTCTTCACATTTCTGAAGGATAGTCACATAGAACAGACAAATGATTTTCTGCTGCCACAGATGATAGGATTAGATATAGGTTGTTATAAGAGCATGTTTGCTTGAATGTTAGGGAAAACCTCTTAATTATTAGAGCAATTTGACAATAGAACCGGTTCTAGAGGAATGATGGGCTCCCTATAGCTAGGAGTCTTTGAGAAAGGGATGTGTGGATTTTGTTACATCGGTTTATGTTTTGCGGATTTTAGGTATCTTTTGTTCCATCATCTGCTCATTGATAGAATCAGATATTTTTTAATGAAGATTTTGTTCATTTGGGAACACACATTAATTATCGCTCAGTAGCATGATTGTACATGTGCAAACAAATGAAGTTGCACAAATTCCAACATGAGTAAGTAAGTAAGTAAATGCAATTGTAAAGCCATGAACCTGTGTGAAGTCTTCTTTTGTCAATGTCCTTGCCTGTTACTTGCTCAATTTTCCCTTCCCTTTGACAGCTGAAGATGAAATTAACCAGTAAAGGTACATATATCAGACAACCATAAGAGCATACCTGTAAAGGCTGACAACATAATAGTAAACAACATTATCAGTACATTTGTGCAATCTACAGGTGCTGAAAAAGAAATAAGACCCCAGTTGTACTTTTTTGATGTTCTGAAAAAACCATGGTGGTAAACTAAAAATTGGTAACAATTGTTGCAGGAAAGGGGGACAAGACAGGTTCTGCTATAGACAGTAAGACAAAGGCTGAACTGGCTAGAGGACTGCAGGGGAGACTGTCAGTGTACTTTGGGTTGTTCAATGAACAATGGACAGATCATGGCTTATTCGCAGGGTAGTTTAGTGCGACATGTGAATGTGTCATACTCTTTAATCTTGCAGTTGAGGTTTCCAAATGGTCCTCTGCATACTGGTTGACACTGGGTGGGGAAACTGAGGTGGTTGCATGTGCATAAAAACTTGGTTGATTTATAGCCATTGTTTAAATATTTACAGTGCCCTAACAGTATTTTTTATGTTTTAGGATTCTAGCAAAAAATGGTGGATCGCTTGGCAAACAGTGAAGCAAATACTAGGCGAATAAGCATAGTGGAAAACTGTTTTGGAGCTGCTGGGCAGCCCCTGACTATTCCTGGTCGTGTTCTGATTGGAGAAGGAGTGCTTACAAAGCTGTGTAGGAAGAAACCAAAAGCAAGGCAGTTCTTCTTATTCAATGATATTCTTGTGTATGGTAACATTGTCATCCAGAAGAAGAAATATAACAAACAGCACATCATTCCATTGGAAAATGTAACTATTGATTCCATCCAGGATGAAGGAGATTTACGGAATGGATGGCTTATTAAGACCCCAACTAAATCTTTTGCAGTGTATGCTGCTACTGCGACAGAAAAATCAGAATGGATGAACCACATAAATAAATGTGTTTCTGATTTGCTTTCTAAAAGCGGGAAGACCCCCAGTAATGAACATGCTGCTGTCTGGGTACCTGATTCTGAAGCTACTGTGTGTATGCGCTGCCAGAAAGCAAAATTTACCCCTGTCAATCGTCGGCACCACTGCCGGAAATGTGGATTTGTTGTATGTGGTCCCTGTTCTGAAAAGAGGTTTCTTATTCCTAGTCAGTCTTCCAAACCTGTGCGAATCTGCGACTTCTGCTATGACCTCCTTTCCACAGGGGAGGTGGCTACATGCCAGCCCACAAGATCAGACTCTTACAGTCAGTCACCGAAGCCTCCTTTGAATGATATATCAGATGATGACGACGATGACGACAGCAGTGACTAAACAATGAAAGAGAACGTCTTGATGTTATGATTGGTGTTTGAACCTAAGTTGCTGTATGAGGAAACCTCTAATTGCAGGGTCTTCTGACAGGCCCACCCTAGCCATGATATTTGCCTGAAATACTTTCAACTCAGATGTGCCTCAGTATCTGCATCTCCTAGATATATCATCATTCTCTTTTCTGCAGGGATATACTGTTGCAAATATATCATTCTCTGTCTTTGTATACTTGATTTCATCTATAGGGAGGTGAGTTGATGCTCTTTCCTTCACCCTTCTTTCAGTGGAAGATTAGGAAATCAAGGACAGATTCTTTTTTCTTCCCAAAAGCATCCCACATTGTTTTGACAATAATACCTTATGGCTTCTTATATTGAGGTGGGGTAGGGAAATTAAATCTGCATAGAACTGGTATTTTGATTAGCAAATTGAATAGAACATCTAACCAGACTTTGAATGATACTGTACTAAGAATTTTGTAACATAAATGCATAGTGTAATGTCATTAACTTTTAAAATGTTATGCAAGATATCATATACCAAGTGGTGCCTTGTAATGACTGCACTGTTGCAGGAAGAAACTAACCTGTTGTACCCTCTTGAATGCAACAAACTAAAAAATAGTTGGTGCTATTGACAATAATTGTTGTATAATTAGGATGTGAGTAATGAGGGTTGTGAGTATATCACTATAATGTATATTGTCCAACAACTCCTTGCACCAAGTTTCCTCTAAGGTGCTGTATGAAGATCAATGCAGCACTGTTGCAGAGTCCAACTATTGTGAGACCCCATAGGTGTGGTACTCCCACAGCATGAGTGAACTGCTGTGCTTGGGGACTACTTAGATCTTCAAATGGATTACATCTCTTCCTACTTTCAAAATGTTTGGAGATTATTAAATGCTTATAGTTATCAGGTATTAGCAAGAAGTATTGTCTCAGATCATGGTATTTGCTGTAATGTTTTTGATTTGATATTTATGAAATGTAATTCATCAGATACTTCACTAACCGTTTTAAACTGTAGGAATTGATTTCTATTATAGTTAAAATGTATTTTAAAAGCACAACAACATGGGGAGATGTCCCGGTTGTCCATTAGAAGGAAAAAAAAATGGCAAAAAAGTCCATCCTTGTACACTGCTGACCTCAAGATAGATTTAAACTGCAGATGACTTCATTTTAAATATATAAATTCAGAACCAGGTTAATAGTGCAAAAAGTGTTTCCAGTATTTACTTTTAACAACATTCTTTTCTATGATGGTATCAATTTTACAGTAATGTCAGATTTAGCTCTGAAATTTTGTAAAAACCCAATACATATCTCTATTTTTATATTACTGTGGTATGTGTAATCAGTTCTTGTAGAAGACCCCTGACAGAACTGTGTGGGACTTTGGTAGTACCTGAGAGTTTATTGAATTGTTAAATATTGTTTGTATTAAAAAGTAATAGTATCTAGACATTTGTTCATTAATTTACAGTTTCTACACTTTTTGCCTCATCTGGCAATAACTGGGCTATATTTATTGAATAAACAATCAATTCTGCATCTTGCACAAGTCTCCCAGTCTGTAATCTGACTGCATTAGCACATATGTTGGTGTTGGAAAAATGTAGATGAGGCGTACAGTTCATTAGGTGATGTGGAGGAGCCTGTGTTCACTTTAGGATTTGCTTGTAAATGTGTTGGAGATCATTCAGCTACAGTGCCGGGTACTAGCCTGTTCAGAGCTATAGTTTTCCTGCTGATGTCCAAATACTTGGACAACACTACCAGAAAAGGAACACTGTATTAAGCAAGGTGGCAATCTAGAAAGACACACATTCACCTACATTGTCTGAAGGTGTCCAAACAGTTTTCCTCCCTGCTTCTTGAATTTATAATTTGTCACTATGAATTCAGAATAATTTGAGTATCTAGGAAGAGGGACTTAAAGATCTAGCTAGATTATAGTCAAAATATTTTGATTGGGTTAACTATTTTACAGTTTGATAAATGTAAATATAAAGACTGTATTAGAACTAGAATGAGCCTCACTAGTGATTGGACTAATTACACCTTCCCCTCTTCTGTGTGGGCGCACAAGGAAATTGTGCATTTCTTTGTACATTAACCACAGTTGCATTATTTGAGCCATAAACTCTGCTTAAGCTTAACTATGGTTATTTGAGACAAGCAAGTCTCAAAAACTCTGATTTAAAGCTTGTATGTTTCAACAAAATGTACTTAAATTAACCAATTTGGATGACATGGGAAGTTGTGGTTAATATGCAAAAAGCATGTTTCTTCTACAAAATCCTTTACTCATAGTACAGAGATACACTATAAGGTACACCTTAATATAGTTCTGTTTTCTTCTTACACTGTGTTGTGCAAAAGACTTTGAATGTCATATTTGCTCAATTATGTTTTTATGTTGCACAAATACTTCTGCACTTTCTACCTGCAAGAAATTTATCTTTAATTTGGCAATATTGTTGGCCTACCAACCCCTAATCCCATTATTTGTGAGTGAGATTCATTCTGTGCTGCCGTTGATCCCTGAAGCTGTTACCAAATTGACACTGTAGGAGAGAATAATTCTAGGAATAGAAGTGTAAAAATATTGCCACTTTTGTGGTTCTGCTCACAGTTTTGTTGTGTAAAGTAAAACTGTCTTGTTAGTCAAACTTTTAAAAGGGCTTAATAAATGGTTTTGTAACTTTGTCAGACTGAACTGCTTTCATTTTGTAAATCTGAGAACAATTTAGAATAAGTAACCATTCCTTGTCCATATGATATTTGAAGGGGATGAAGGCCTAGTAATGCATTGCAAACAAAGATACCAGATTGTCAACACTTAATACTGTGCCTGAAAATGCAGCTCTTGAATCGATATTTTAATAACAAAGAGGTAGCATTTTTTCTCTCAGGTACATTGCCTTTGACTGGAAAAAATAAGCCTCTTCAATGAGTTGCTGCTTATTTAATGTAACTACAGAGTGATTTGCTGTAGCGCGTGCAAACAACAATCCAAACTTCATGTGTGTGCTGGTGGGATCTGAACATACTGAAATAAGCCAGGTATCCAAACTCAAGACCTTACCAAAAGCTCACTGAAAATAGTATTTTAAGGGTTTCACAGCAGAGAGTATCTCTTTGCTTGGAGATACTCCTTGATCCTTTTCTGTCACTTGAGGCCTAGGTGGCCTATGGCACAGAGCGCCTGCTACCAGCTTTGGCTGGTGGCCCAGATATACCCCTATCTGGACACGAATAGCCTGCCTCCAGTAATCTATGTTCTGATAATCTCTAAACTAGATTACTGCAAGGCACTCTACATGGAGCTTTCCTTGGAGATTGTTCAGAAGATTCAGCTTGTGCAAAAAGTGGCAGCCAGATTAATAACTGCAACCAGAAGTTCCCATCACATAGCACTAATCCCAGCTGACTTGCATTGGCTGCTATATGCTTCCAAACACAATTCAAGGTGCTATAAACCCTACAAGGTTGGGACCACAAGCCCTGATGGAAGGCCTCTCCTGATCTCAATCTACCCAGACCCTATGATTTGCATCTGGGGCCTTCTTCCAACTGCTAACTTCCAGGGAAACATGGAAAGAGGCAACAAGGAGAAGGGCCTCCCCAGTGGTGGCCCCTCAGTTATTGAATGATCTCCACACTGTTGCCCACTTGGTGCCAATATCATCTTTTTGATGATACTTAAAACTGTTCTTTATTTCTTAGCTTTTAATAGCTTTTAATGTAATATGATGCATTGTGTCAACTGTTTTAATCAAATCTTGTTTTATGGAAATTATGTTAGATGTTTAACCTCTTTGTATATCAAAATTTTAAAATTTTAATTTGTATATTAGAATTCTATACTGTGTTTTATTGTATTCATATTTCTTATTGGACAGTAATTAATTGGACAGCAGCTCTAACGTAACTAGGTTGCACTAGTATAATGAATCATTGTGCCAGTAGCATTAGCTGATGCGACAGGAGGTCCAGCATTGTGCTAGAGATCCGAAGGCTAGTGCAATGTAACTAATGTTGCTGCTAGAGTTCATTTAGATGCTGCCTTATATTTTTAATGTGACCAATGACACATTTCTCTATTGGCTTCCTATGGAGTGGCAGTGAAATAAAAATTAAGAAAATGTGGTTGAAAGTTAAAAGTACAATTATGTACAAAAGGACAATTATGTCATCTCTGTTGTGTGCTTGCATTTAGAAAATGCTGTGCTATTCTTACCAAATGTCAAAAATGATAATGGGAGAGGAACCAAAAAGGGCTACAAACCATTCTGAGAGCCAATTCGGTTAATCGAATGGGTTATAAAAACCTTAAACGAAGATACGTAATATAGAAATAGTCTGTAAGGGATTGCCTTGATAGTCTGTAACCTTGATAAATGCCTTTACTGAACCTTTTACAAATGCCTTTACTGAAATTGAGTCTGTGATTCTGCCTTTCTTTTCTGGAAGAATGATCCCTTGAATTCAGCTCTTCAGAGGTGTGTTCATAGGTTTAAACTCTGTATCTAAAATAGAAGATGGATGGGAATTAAGCTTGTACCTGTCCTGACCTTAATGCTATATATAAAACTTGGCATTTTGAATCAAAGTGCCATTGGTCAGGGACAGAACATGTTGTATTAAACAGCTGAACTGTGTCATGGTAGAAGGAAAATGATTGTTTTCACCAAAACTTGTTCAGTAAGATTAACATTGTGTGATTGTACCGGAGGGTTCCTCAGAGATAATAGTCTATGCCACAGACTGCTATTTCAGTTAGTAGTATAATTAGTAATATTTTTAATTTTCAGAAGTAAATATTTATGATGAGAATTAGTAAAACATCTTTATTTTTATAGGAGTCTTGCAGTCTAGGACATACTCCACTGGATACACAAAATAAATTGTAAGATTTGTAAGTTTAAGGGAAAAAAGCAGTTCTTAAAAAGGCTGGAGAAATGCTGGAGAATTGAGTCCCTCCATAGTGACTGTGAGGTCTGTGCTAGTTCTGCTCAGGCAGAAGAGAACAGCAAAGCAAGGGTGCATTTAATTAGGATTAAGGCTGGCTGAGGGCACAGAGTACATCTGACTAGTACAACCAGAATTCATTGTGCTTACCTAGAAATAATTGTGTTAACACCAACTACCCACTGCAATGAGAACATGGTTTGTGTAACCCAACCCATCCTCCAGCTAACTTGGCCATTGGCAAGAGAGGATAGCTGCTGTAGTTCCCCACAAATGAAGGATCTCAGAAGGGAAGGAGTATTGGAGCTAATACATTCTTTTCTTTCTCTATTTGCTAGTGGTTGGGGAACCTTCATGAAAGACCTGGGGATGTGGCAATAAAGGACATACTATCAAAAAGTGGTTTGTGTGTGAGTGGGATGGTTCATCTGAAGTTCCTCCTTTGCACTTCCTCCATCCCACATCCCAGGCTTTTCCTTAGTTCCATCTTCCCCAGGAGAGGCTTTTCAGGGAACTTGGGCAGATGTGTAGTGAATTTACTTTGAGGTGCCAACCATTGTGTTGGATAGAACCCAGTATCTTGACTGGATCAAAACAGAGAGTGAAAGGGAGCAAGAGGAAAATTCTTTCAAAGGATTGCACTTGTGTTCTGGTTATTGAGGAGCACATTACAGAGGCACTGCACCCCCTTTGCGGGGTGCTTTTGTCTAATACAAGGGGTTATTAGCATTGGAGGAAGATCTCGAAGTAGGACCATGTGGCTTCATCAACATAGAGTTCCTATACAGAACAGCATTTTGTCATCCTAGTCTTAAAAACAGGACTGCCAACAAATATGAAAAACCATTGTTACCCACCTTTCATAGGATGATTAAATAGAAATAAGCATCCATATTCCCTGAATGCCAATATCAGTTTCTTGTGACCGTGAAGGAAGTGTGAAATAAATTTGAACATAATCTACTACATTTCAAAGAAACGTTCATCTTAATATTTCCTTTTATATTTCCTTAACAATAACAAAATGACCAGAAGACAACTGTCTGAAACTATAAACAAGTGTTCCTTTTACCTGCTTTCAGTTCAGAAGTAAGTTGCATTTTCTTGCATGGATATTCATGGTTCAGTTTGTGTGCTTAATACCACTTGTGAGTGTATGCTGCAGTACAAATTTGAACTCAAGAATTCTTGGTCCAGCCTGAAGGCTATCTTAAGCAGGCTGCTTTTAAGTCCTCAATTCTTCCAGTTTGCTCATCTTTCCACCCATCTGTCTGTCCACCCACCCACCCATTTATCCATTTGTGGCTGGCTGTACCATTAGGCAGAGCCAGGGAGGTGCTTCAGGCAGCAGAAGACTGGAGTGGAGAGACAGCATTTAACTGCATGCATTTAATGTTAACTAATGCAAAAGATATTGGCAGAGAGAGGACTGAATACAAGCGAACAAAACAAGGTTGGTCAGTTCTCATAAATGCTGCTTTCTGTCTAGGGATTGGTCACAAGCTGCTTCTTTCTGGCCCATTGGACACAAAAAGTTGTTTTTCTTTGTGGGTTTGAATAATTTTTGAACAGAAGCCACACTCATGAGTGCCACAAAGCTGCTGCAAGAAATTTTTGATTATCTGTGTCAATATTTAATGGAGTTTAGAAGCTGGATTCTTAGATTGCCATAAGAATGGCAGATTTTGCCCCTCATGTCAAAATCACATTTCACCATTTCCTAGCTAAACTGGGATGAAGTCACTGGGTGTAATCTGGGTGATTTAGAGTTGTTTTTCTGGTTCAGCATCATCAAGTACCTGGGGAGGATTTCTGGACTACTTGAAGCCCAAGGATGAATGAGTATCCTCCTGATTCCAGCTTCCAGCATTTTAAAAACAACTTAAAGAGCCAGGATTGCAAAAAGTAGCATGAGCTGACATACGTTTCATTTCCCTGCAGATTTGCAAATATGAAAAAAGGAAGTCTGTTGCTTATTTTTTATAATGTTACAGTAGTCAGTATTGGTTCTGCCTTCTTCAGGGGAGAAAATGTGAATTTCAAGTAATTCTGAATTCTTCATAATTTACTGTTGCCCTCTTCCCTGCTTGTTTGGGTCTCTGCCATCTGGAATTCTGCCCCAGGTGGCCCCATGAACTTTGACTTGAAATGCTCAAACATGGAAACATTTCCCTTTACGTCAGGGTGTGGCATGTTTTTCTGCAGACAGCTGCGTTCCCTCAGGGGTAATCTACTGGGGGGCACAAGCGAATGGTTGGTGGGGCCAGAGCCAGAATTGACCCACCCCTTTTCTCTCTGCTTCCTTCTGTCACCCATTTCTCTCTCCTTCTGACACTCCTTTCTGTGCCTCTTCCTCACACCCACTTTCTCTCTTGGTGTCTCTCTGACTCTCATTTCCTCTTCCTTTGTCCTTTGCCAAGTTGGGGCAGAATGCTGCTGGGGCAGTGAAGGGAAAATGCAGAAGAGAGCTGCACTGGGACATTTTTCAGAGCAGGGGTGGTGGCATCTCTGGCTGGAGTGCCAAAGTAGTTGAAGAACCAGGACTGGCATCTGCGGTAAGCACAGCTGGCCATTTGCCAAGAGCCCACATCTCTGCAAGGGCCCATTGACAAGAGCCCTTTGGACTTGCTCCTACTTTTCGTCATTGCCACCTGGTTCTGGTTCTGTATTTTTTCTGGCTCAGGCAATGGTGGGGTAAAAAGGAGGAACAGCAGATGCCACAGCTAAGTCATTC